CTAGTTTATTCTATATATATATTTAAAATTTGAGATAACAACCATAAAATGATTATCAGTGCACTCCAGCAACGACGGACATCAACAATGTCAGAGGCGACGCAGTGACGCCGCTACATCCTGCTAAGGACACTCCTAATTTTCTTTTATAGCTTAGATGGGTGGACGAGCTCACGGCCCACCTAATGTTAAGTGTACCACCACCACCACCACCATACCATACCACCATACATCACCAAATGTAGTTGATTAGCGTTTGAACTGTAAAAAAAGAATATCCCTATTGCTCTAAGTCTGCAAATACCTTCTACACTCTTCGAAATCAGAAGAGGCCTATAATATGTCACTGTCCGGTCCGTAAATTATATCTTTGAAAGCCAGGTCTGTGCTTTTCTAGCGTTAGCTGCTCTTACTAGCGGCAGGACCTCTTGTGAGTCCGTGCGGGTGGGTACCACCACTCTGCCTATTTCGGCCGTGAAGCAGTAATAATACGTTTCGGTTTGAAGGGTGGGGCAGCCGTTGTAACTATACTGAGACCTTAGAACTTATATCTCAAGGTGGGTGGCGCATTTACGTTGTGGATGTCTATGGGCTCCAGTAACCACTTAACACCAGATGGGCTGTGAGCTCGTCCACCCATCAAAGCAATAAAAAAAAATACATCATAATTATGTTCAAAACATCTCTCACGAAAGTAGATCAAACATAGAAACACATCTTGTTTATTTACACATTATACTAGAGGTCCCGCAGTAGTCGAAATTCGACTATAATTAATTGGAATTGTAAGTTTGTACACTATTATGATTGTATTTTATACTTCTATAATCACAAATTTCGACAAGGCTACATTAAAAAAATTTTTAAAAAACAAACAGTATATTTAATCTATTCTCAATTTGACCACAAACGTCAAGAATAAAAGTTTGACAATACTATTATGCATGCGTGTGTGCGTCAAATACATAGTATGTAGTGTGTGTAATGTTTTCTTTATTAATTTAATGTACCTTTTATGAATTATTTTAAAAAAATATTGGCATTGTGCAATTCTTCTCTATATTCTTTATAAGTGTAGAAAATTTCATACTCCTCCGTCCGCGCAATTTTCGTAAAAAGGGATACAAACTTTTTGCTTCACGTATTAATATATAGATTTGGTTGTTAAATCGTTGGCGGGCTTAGTCCTTTTCGTAAAAGAAACCGCACCACCCTCTCATTCAAACTTTGCCTTTAATTTTTCTTCTTCATGATCGATAACTTTGATGACGTATGGACCAATGAGAATGATCGATGGCCAATATGTTTGAGAGCAATTGTTGTTTGATCAAATGATTAAGTTGGATTGTTTTGATGTTCGCTTTGAATACACACACATCGTTCGCACGCGAAACAAATGTTCTTTGCACAAGTATTGCAATCAAAAGCCTATCGATGACTAAAATTGGATATTAAATCTTTGGTGTTCACTGTTAGAATCGTCAGTGGTCATTATGAATATGTCAACTTGCTGACATTTCTATCACATATTAATCACACGTTTCGATTTGAACACTGGGATTTTTACTTCGATACAAATGGAACGTCCTCCTGTCTTGCAGTGGGCGAAGAGACTAATATTTCCATCAATCTACGCAAAAAAAAAAAATCAGTCTGGTAGGACCTTGTGAGTCCGCACGGGTAGGTACCACCACCCCGCCTATTTCTGCCGTGAAGCAGTAGTACGTTTCGGTTTGAAGGGTGGGGCAGCCGTTGTAACTACACTGAGACCTTAGAACTTATATCTCAAGGTGGGTAGCGCATTTACGTTGTAGATGTCTATGGGCTCCAGTAACCACTTAACACCGAGTGGGCTGTGAGCTCGTCCACCCATCTAAGCAATAAAAAAAGCTTCAATTTATGTTTGTAACTTTTTTGTTTGAGACCTGACGGGTATGCAAGCTCGTGACCCCTAGGTGGACCGCTAGGTAGGTGGGTACCCATTGACGCTAAGAATGACCGTCCACGTAGAGACACAATTTGTCAATCAATTAACTACAGCAAAAAGAGACTGGTTTTTGGTTCTTGATATATTTTATAATTTTGTAGACTTCATTGTCACACGATGACACTCCGTCAACGTCGAAGTCATTCATACTTAGCAAAATTAACACCCGATTTAGGTTGAGAACCGCGAAATCGCATCACAGTAAGTACGCCTTCAGAAAAACGTGGATTGCAAATCGTAGGCCTCTGATCTAGAAACGATTTTCCCTAACTATATTCATACACGCCCACAGAAGATCAAATAAAAAAAATATTTTGAAAAAAAAAAAAGAAAACAGCCTGATAAAAAAAGAAATACTCGGAAGTTATAAGGCAACGTGGCTCCTGGGAATAACATTTATCACGAACCTCGGATATGTTTTTAAGTGGAATCAACATTTCTTCGAAAAAACATTCGCCAATCGGATTCTATTAAAAGTATATTTTGTTAAACGAACGCCTTGAAATGTACTATTGAACAAAGTCTTGAAACAATTTCTTAATTGAATTTTGTACGATATTCTTACGTTAAAACTCACATATTTTTATTGTAACTAGAGGTCCCGCAGCAGTCGAAATTCGGCTATAATTAATTGGCATTGTAAGTTTGTACACTATTATGATTGTATTTTATAATTCTATAATCACAAATTTCGCCAAGACTACACTATAAAAAATATTAACAAAGACAAACCATATTCTATTCTCAATTTGACAACAGACGTCAAGAACAAAAGTTTGACAATAAATAGTATGCATGCGTGTGTGCGTCAAATACATGGTATGTAGTGTGTGTAATGTTTTCTTTATTGATTTAATGTATCTTTTATGCATTATTTTAAAAAAATATTAACATTGTGTACTTCTTCTCTATATTCTCTATAAGTGTGGAAAATTTTATCCTCGTCCGTCCGCGCAATTTTCTTAAAAAGGGATACAAAGTTTTTGCTTCACGTATTAATATATAGATAATGATCTGAATTTTTTTCTGTCAAGTGAAATCAAGTAAAGTAAGTAAATTTAAATAAATAAAATCTTGAATTGAAATAGAACGTGTTATGCCTACACGGTACTGTTTTTACGGTCCAAATAACATACAATTGTCAGTACCAAAAGAAAATATTTCCACGCGTTGACATGGTTGAGGTCTATAGGCTCCGGTGACCTCTTTTTTTTTTTTTTTTTATTGCTTATATGGGTGGACGATCTCACAGCCCACCTGGTGTTAAGTGGTTACTGGAGCCCATAGACATCAACAACGTAGACGCGCCACCCACCTTGAGATACAAGTTCTAAAGTCTCAGTATAGTTACAACGGCTGCCCCACCCTTCAAACCGAAACGCATTACTGCTTCACGGCAGAAATAGGCAGGGTGGTGGTGCCTACCCGTGCGGACTCACAAGTGGTCCTACCACCAGTAAAAAACCAACAAAAAAACCAGTAAAAAAAACTTAACACCAAGTCACACACCGATCTTAGCAATAAAAATAAATATGCAACAATTCGTGGGATCATAAAGAACGGGTTAATTCCAAAGTATAACAATTGTCCAAATCCAGCCAAATTCCTATGCAGCATGATATGATAGGAATGGGGACATCGAGAGGACATGCAGCGCTAACCCCGCATGATATGGGCAAGAAGAACATGAAAATGTCTTCTAGAAATTAGTGACGTTGATTTGGTGATGTCTATGGACTTAACACGCGGAGGCAGTTAGCTTGTCCACTAATAAATAATGTATTAACAGAACGATGTAGGTTTTTTTTTCAACCTAAACAATATAATCACTTTCTTGGGCGTTCGTGCGTGACAAACGGTGTTCGCGCAGACTTCCATTAGACATAATTACTTGCCATACATCTGTACGTGTGACAGTGGATTTCCCAAACGGCTAAACGCTTTTACCTTTACAGCCAATATCGTTTAAATTAAATCTGTTTGAGCTTGGGAGTATAATTGTTTTAGTGCTAGGCTTAATTTAATATGTTGAACGCCATGACGGACACCATATGTCCACGACATACTTTCGCCTTTTTTTTCGGATAGGGGGGCGAACCTTCGGATTTTACTGTTTCCCCTAGAGCTGCACCAATATGTCACGAATTGGCCAAAAATCGTTAAGGTGTTTTTCCGCAAATATTGTCAAGACAAGGAGTAGCCCAAAAATAATGGGCGATTTACGGAAACTGCGACTACTCGTTAGATATCAAATGACAGACACACAGTTCCGTCGCGGCCCCCTATACCTGACTTATTGGGGGTTATTAGGTGTCCGCCCCGGCCCCCTGGGCTAAACATGGTTTGTAGTCTTATTTTTGTATTATTAGTTTTGTAGACCTCCCGAGGCAGAACATAACAAAAGCACAAGCCGATTCCTTTTTAAAATATCTCTTATTCGTATATTGGTTAGCAAAAACGAACAAATGTTATGTTAATTAAACAGACTACTTTCGTTATTAAGAAGCAGCGCACTGTTTTTCAGCTTCATGGTTTTTTAAATACACCCAGTGACATGTATTTAAAAAAGCCACAAACCGAATGATGACCACCAATCATGAATAATGCTTGAGGCACACCCAAGCTTGCTGAGTTTGATGTTACAGTAATCTTGCTTGCTTGATTGCTTGGTTTTTATATTTTGTACGTGCTACGGCCGCACCCATTGATATTCACTGTTTTTTTTTTTATTGCCCTTGTAGACATACGATCATACAGCCCACCTGATGGTGAGTGATTACCGTCGCCCATGGACTTCAGCAATGCCAGGGGCCAGAGCCCAGCCCCTACCTACCGTGTTGTACTCAAAGTGCTGAAAAAAACAAGAGCGCCCATCGCTCTAGTGCTGAATATCTTAAACTAAAGTACCGTCTCACCTAGAATGACGAGACGACCTAATCTCGACATAAGCTAGCTAAACTTAATTTTGTGACCAGGAAACTTTTGATTTTAAGTTTCGATCTTTCCATGCTAGGAGCAGATTCGCTCGCACACCACTACAAAAGCCAGAGCCCGGACTTCCTCCGGCTCATGGCTGAGAAGCACTGGCTGGGCCGATGGGACAGAAGACCACACATCGAAGCAGAACTTGGCCCACCGGCTTTACGCCTTGACTTCCCCAACGCTGAAGAACCGGATATTTTTTTGGACGACGAAATGAGGTACAGCAAATAACTTTAGGAACTGTTTAAATCTAACAATATCTATTTTATATATACGTTATTTTTTTAATAAATCCACCCGGCATCATTTTGAATAAATTCGTGCTTAATTTGGACTAGAAAATTTGTAGTTTACTATCGAATATTCTTTTTTATATCACAACGAAATTAGCGACTTTTTAATTTAGCCTAATATAATAGCGTTTAAAATGCAATAACGGACAATAAACGTTGTCCGATCCGAGACGTAAAACTTTGTGAGTCAGGCTTAGATAGCACCAGATAGCAGATAGATTTATTTTGGGTGTGCGTGTGTGAAAATGTCCGTTTTTGCATCACCCAAGAGTCATTTGCGGGAAGTGATGCTTTTCTCCTTTGATTCGAAGGCCGTTGCCTGAAGCGCATCGAGATCTCCAAAAATTTTACGGCGACGCTGCTCTGAGCGAAACAGTACGCTCTGATTGGTACCGTCACATCAAAGACGTTGGTTTCAAGGTTCACGACCGTCCGTCTAAATATAAGCCAAAAACCCTCGAAGATGCTGATTTGGAGGCATTGCTCTTTTTTTATATTTTTTTATTGCTTAGATGTTTGGCCGAGCCTACAGACCACCTGGTATTAAATGGTTACTGGAGTCCATAGACATCTACAACGTAAATGCGCCACCCACCTTGAGATATAAGTTCTAAGATCTCAAGTATAGTTACAACGGCTGTCCCACCCTTCAAGCTGAAACGCATTACTGATCACGGCAGAAATACGCGGGGTGGTGGTACCTACCCGTGCGGACTCACAAAAGGTCCTACCACCTGTCAATGAGGATATATGCCAAACGTAAAATCAGCTTGCTTCAGCATTAGGAGTTACTCGCCAAGCGATTGCACGCGTTGGGAATGATTCAAAAGCAATGAACTTGGGTTCCTTATAAGTTGAAGCTCAGAGATGTTGAGTGTCGTTTTATCGCCAGTGAACAACTGCTCCAGCGGTACAAAATGAAGGGTTTTCTTCATTGCATTTTAGATGTCCGGCAATAAACCTCTGCGGTTTGAAAGATAGAAGATTAAAAATGATATTCAAGAAGTATACGCTTAAAACACAAACGTATTTGGAGTTCGAAAACAAGAATTTCTTATTCTGTACAATATTCGTCAAATAAAACATCTAATAGGAAAATAAATTCACATTCGCAGAACCTCCGAGTCAATAATTATGATTATAAATATGGATAGAAAAACAAATCAAATTTGGGAATGTGTTCCATGATATATATACGAGTACATTTCTTTAATCCTTTTACGCTTCAAAGATCTGTGGCAAATTGAAGTTTCGTATTTTTATATGGAAAACGAGCTAGACACTCATTTTCGAAAATAAAATGAAAAACATGTATAGTCTTTATTTCTTTTGAAGATTTTTGATAAATAACTTACAAAGTAGCATCAGAGCATCAGTGTTTTTGGACAAGAAATTTAAATGTGCTATTTTAGTACATAACAGGTACATATACTATTACCTACCTATACAGATAATTAAACGGAAATTGTGACAATAAGATTTATAATCTAACCACAGTTGGGCAGAACCTAAAAACACGATCATCTGCATATATTTATTATACACATATATATTTCTAAAGATTTTCTCTTGAGTTACGGTTAGCTTGTACCTCTTATGAGTCCGGACGGGTAGGTACCTACACCCCGTCTATTTCTGCCATGAAGCAGTAATGCGCTTCGGTTTGAAGGATGTGGCAGCCGCTGTAACTGAGATCTTAGAACTCATATCTCAAGGTGGGTGGCGCATTTACGTTGTAGATGTTTATGGGCTCCGGTAACCACTTAACACCAGGTGGGGTGTGAGCTCGTCCGCTCATTTAAACAATAAAAAAAAGACACCACTTATTATAACCCGACAACAAATACCAAATGTCTTTATTGACCGCGAATCGAACCTCTGGTATTCAAAAGTAACTGGTAGTGCGCCTGACCAATATGTCAAGCAATGCGCCAAGAAGCCTATCAAACCAAGTCAAGGCTTTGCAGCCTGTTCTCCAAGAGCTTGGAGAAAATTTACATTTTTAAGTGCTTCGAATCTTCATCACTCGTTTTAGCCATTGGTATTGTAATCGTCATCAATGACGTTACGATTTATTGAAGTAATGAACACAATTCGCTACAAAAAAAATAAAATATGACCTTCGATGCCATACGAGGCTGCGGTTCACTTGAAGCTCGGTGGTCATCATCGCTCATATGCGCGAGAAATTCCGTGTGCGCAAACAACCCGCTGATTCTTCAGTTTCATGAAGCATCGTGGGGTTGATTCACAGATAATCTCCTATCTGTGGGTTGATTTCATTACAGTCACGGATAGTAGTACGTGACGAAAAAAAACACACGACACTAGCTTGAACACTTATTTACTGATAGACTGTGCGGTGATAAGAGTATACCACGGAATATACAGTAAATTACAAAGATCCCATTAATTATTCGAGATGATCCCTCATCTCCTTTTTATCATCACACCTCCCGCCATCGAAGCAGAGTTCATCCATATTATCTGGAACCGCTGCGTTCATCGACAGTGCGTATCCAAAGACCTTTTTTGCCACGTACCATCCGGCTTTGGAATGAGCTCCCCTCCACGGTGTTTTCCGAGCGCTATGACATGTCCTTCTTCAAACGAGGCTTGCGGAGAGTACTAATGGTAAGCAGCGTCTTGGCTCTGCCCCTGGCATTTCTGACGTCCATTAGCGACGGTGACCACTTTCCATCTGGTGGGCCGTGTGCTCGTCTGCTTAAAAAGGCAATAAAAAAATAATCCCAAACTAAACTTAGTTGAAAGCTTCGTATCTAGGAAGCGAGGCAGACGCGATACTCCTTATAGGTCTTATCCGATGTACCGCTTTTTGTTTTGCGCATTAAACATATGGCTTAAATTCTTTCTCAGGTTCAATTCAGAAAAGCGATCGGCAGTAGCGTCGGCTTTGAATTCTGGACGTCGCCGACGACAGCCAACGCCGGCGCTCGGTAAGGACTTCACTCCATATGGGGGCGTCGGTAAGCAACGCCGCACACATTGTCCGCACAATGTCCGGCCTTAGACAACGAGACCACATAACGCGATTTTGTTTTGTGTTAAGTTCGTTTTTGGATTGTGTTAAGTGGTTACTGGAGCCCATAGACATCTACAACGTAAATGCGCCACCCACCTTGAAATATAAGTTCTAAGGTCTCAAGTATAGTTAGAACGGCTGCCCCACCCTTCAAACCGAAACGCATTACTGCTTCACGGCAGAAATAGGCAGGGTGGTGTTACCTACCTGCGCGGACTCACAAGACGTCCTACCACCAGTAAAGATCCCTTCATAAGCAATCGCGGTGGATTGCCACGACAAATGCCACAAATTAATTGCCCACTAGACTGTTACACCTCTGTATTAGTTTGTAAATAGTAGCTTTGATCTACTAACTATGAATTGAAGTCGAATTCCGAAGTTTTCAGTTATTTTTACTGCAACCTTAAGATGAATTTGCACGACAAATTTCTTATTTTCTCTCTCGTACTTATTACGAATAGATTTATCACTGAACATCAAAATCATGACCTAAATTATTTATTTTATTCTTATTTATGCTTAGTAAGATATTATGATAATATTTATTATCATCTTATCAAAATTTTTATTACGTAATCTGCAATCAGTTATTCGTAGAACCGAAACCTATATACCATCTAATGATATCCGGTTCTATATCCGTTTTTTTTGATAATATGTTATTTTTGGACTACGTACTGTATCGGATTGCTATCAATAAAATAATATGATTCGAACAGGCTATTTCTTGGATATCGCGCCTCTGTGATTTGTTTTGTTGTTTTTGGAGTGTCAACCACCTACCACCACCATTAATTACGTTAATTATAATTTAGGGTTTGATTTAAAAATCTAAGTGTAAAAAAACATCGATCGTTTAGGAAATAAACTGTTCAGTATTTCTTCATCTTTGAATTAATTCGTGAATAAATAACAAATTATGTTTTAATAGAAAAATTTGCATTTGTCTGAAGACATTGAACTCTAACTGCATCGCTGGATACAAGTGGTAGATTCTGCGAAGCACTGCTCTTGCTAGGGCCAGTGTTAGCAACATTCCGGTTTGAGCCCCGTGAGCTCACCTATATGTTAAGGCGAAGCTGAAATAGCCTCTCAAGGCTAACAGCATAGGTAGGAAAAAAACCTAGAATATTAACATGCAATCTAAACAAATTGTTGCCGCCTTTGCTAATTAAGTATGCCCAGTAAGAGAGGAAGCAGTGCGGTTTGTGATCTATTCGCGAAAAATTTAGCAACGGCAATCAATTTTAATCTTTATTATTATTATTTTATTATTTGTAATTTAATTCAGTTAGTTACCACCGACGTAAATCTTATCCGAGAAAGCATTCACCTTTTGATATTCTCGATCAGTGAACTAGGAAAATGCTACATAATGTTTTTTAAAGAGGCAAGATGTTCTCCAGTGCTCGACAGTGTTGAAATCAACTCCACGACTAAGTTATGACTTGCATTAACGTTTTTTTATGTTTATGGATTTCTTTGGAATGATAAGTTTGTTGAAAAGCGCGCGTCTTCTGTTTGACAAAGAAACAACATAGCTTAGGTTAGCATAGCTTCTTCCCGAAATGCCAATAAAAGGTAGGTAGGACCTCTTGTGAGTCCGCGCCGGTAGGTACCACTGCTCTGCCAATTTCTGCCGTGAAGCAGTAATGCGTTTCAGTTTGAAGGGTGGGGCAATCGCTGTAACTCAACTGAGACCTCAGAACTTATATCTCAAGGTGGGTGTCGCATTTACGTTGTAGATTCTATGGGCTCCAGTAACCACTTAACATCAGGTGGGCGTAAGCTCGTCCACCCATCTATGCCATAAAAAACAATTAAAAAACTTCATACTTGTTGACAATAAAAACCATTAAATCTAGTCAAAATGTGATTATAATCGGACATTTTAGCCAAGTGACGCACAGACCGATTATCCGCACTCATCGATATTAATCCATGACCGAATAAAAATTTACACGAGCGTCAAAAAACGAAAATAAATGTACCTACGTAATTTTATCCTTCTGGAAAAGTTTCCTCCTTAGAGCATCCTAACGCGCATTACCAAGCTTGATACATAAAGTAATATGTCGTGCGATTGACAAACAAAACACCAATAAATCAATTTACGATACACTTGTCGGGAACATACATCATTTTACCATCATTTGGGATCTCTTTTAAGACCTCGTCTTGGCGTTTCGGTTACTCATCTATTTACTCCTTTACGGTTTTCGTTATGCGCTGTTGTGTTTGCATATTTTTTTTATTGCTTAGATGGATGGACGACCTCTCAGCCAACCTGGTGTTAAGCGGTTACTGGAGCCCATAGACATCTACAACGTAAATGCGCCACACACCTTGAGATATAAGTTCTAAGGTCTCAGTATAGTTACAACGGCTGCCCCACCCTTCAAACCGAAACGCATTACTGCTTCACGGCAGAAATAGGCGGGGTGGTGGTACCTACCCGTGCGGACTCACAAGAGGTCCTACCACCAGTAATAACATTAACATGGTAACATGTAGCATGGTACATGGAAAGTAACATGGTCTTAAGACATCATCATACGCATGCAGCTGCTCAAGTGAGTTAACAAAATCACAATTACAATCTCATGGCGGCTGTTCCCGATTTTAGGCATCGTTCACACGTGAGTATTCTCACTATCAGCCTCAGTGTAAGCTTATAGTCGGCGGCGGACCATCGGTTGGTGTGAACGATGCCTTAGACCAGTATGTCGCCATTGAAAAATATTTGGACAGGATTTTAGGATCCACTGGTTCATCAAATCCATTGTTTAATTAAAGACCTAATTCGATTCGCGGTTTTGCAGGTGTGCTAAACGACATGAGCTCGTACTTCAATTTCCTGCGCGACAACGTCGAAACCCTGGCCTCACTGTCCCCGCAGCAGCGGTCCACATTCGTCCAACCGCCTTCGGTCGTCCAGGCGCCTGGAAGCGGTGCCGGTAAGTTTGACAAACACATGGTTCAACACGGGCCCTGCTTCAATAGCGATCTACATTCGTCCAACCACCTTCGGTCGTCCAAGCTCCTGGAAGCGGTGCCGGTAAGTTTGACAAACACATGGTTCAACACGGGTTCTGCTTCAATATCCGATCGGAGTTAACCTTGTTAACACGTTGACTGCCATATAGGTCACCGGTGCCCTACACGGCGCAATGAACTAATTATATCGATTTCTCTCATCGATCATCTAACTAATGCGCGGAATATCTAGTAGACTGTAAAAAAGAACTGTAGATACTGAGAATGAATCTATTTCTAAGAAACTTAAAAGAATAAAATATACATTAACAAACAATTACCTAATAGAACTTCGTAACAGAATTCGATATAATTACTTCAGTGCGCCACGTAGGGCACCGGTGACCAACATGGCAGCCAACGTGTTAAAGATATTTGGGTTGCATTTGGATGTGGAACGTGTAAAGATTTGACTCCATGAGATATGAGATCAAAGTTTCAATTGTTTTGTGTAAATCCTGTTCTTCCCTTCAAACTGGAACGCATGACTGATTTTCGGCAGAAACTGGCTGGATAGTGGTACTTGATCCTGCCTCAATATGTTGCTATTTGCACTGTTATATCTAAATGTCTGGTGTGGTTAATTCAAGAGACATATATGACTCAGTAGTATATGAGATAAAAAAGATAAATCCATTTCAAATAGGATTCACGTAGAATCTGTTCTTGATGGGTGTCTATAACGCAAAGAGACTATTTGTCCCAAGAGGAAATCCATCAGTCTAATATTTTCGGAGATCTCGTGATGAATGCGTGGCAATGCGCTTAAATCTGTAAACATATACTCATATACATACACGTCGACGTGTGTATTGATAGATCCCTTTAGACTTCAAATTAGGGATTAATCAGCAAAAAGGTTTTGGCTAATCAGGGTTGACTAATAAACATACCAAAAATATAATTATTCGGTTAATCATGACCGTAAATAATGAAAAATAGACAATGCGTAATATGTGTTAAAGAGTCGTAAGCGGTAGCAGTTTGTCTGCAAACATGATATTGCTTTTGTCCACGGGCGAAGATAAAGACTTATTTTTTTGTTTGGGAGATTACTGGTGGCCCGAAAGCCTTTCCAGTTTTACCAGGACAGGTCAGCCAGGAGGCGTGGGATTTGCTAGCAGCTGCCCGAGCGCATCCAAAGGAGACCTAACAACTCAAGAGTAGCTGCTTTGCGAATGAATCTACTACCGGATCGGAAACGCGACCCGCTGAGAAGATCCGGCGAGAAACTCAGCGGGCTGATGCTTAGGTTAGGTTTGCACGTCAAACTCTTTGCCGAGTTCGACGAGTACAGTTACCGGGGTCCCTACTCCTAGTGTTAGAGCTAAAGGCGTCTAATGCAAGGGTTATTAGATCTGATGGATCCGTAGGGGATAACGACACACCATCAGGCGATCCATTGGCTCGCCTGCACAAACAGACAATAATGTAACCATTTCTTTTTAATCCACGCCTTACAATCCATAAACCACTAATACAATAATGTACTGCTTATTTCCATTACCCTTTGTTTTCTGTATACATTATGGTAACGGTTAACTTCTAAGTACCCACGTTGTTTTCTGATGCGGTATATTCTAACTCAAAAATATCCTTCAATCAAATTCCAGTTATATCAAAACTAGTTATATCAAAACCGAACTTTTTTTTTAAATCATGCATTTTTATTCCCGGATTGATCTCGCGATAGACCTCGGGAAACGAACAGACAAACTGATTAAACTTGCATCGGTTCTATATATAGACTTCCGTTACAAAGTCCCCTAGGTGACGCGATGCCGGAAGTTTAATGAGTTTCGTGTATTCTAGGACTTCCTGGTGCATAGGAAAAATGTCGAGCACTTGTTGTCATGACCTTTTAATCGGATTGCAATCGCGCTCGATCGGTCGCAGGTTCGAGACTGGGCAAGTACCGATTGACATTCAGCTTAGTGAGGCAGACATGATAGGAAAGCCCTTTTTCAGTACAATCCGGATCGTTTTTATAGTTGAATATAATGTAGACCATAGACATTTGTAGGTAGCGGCTTGGCTCTGCCCCTGGCATTTCTGACGTTTATGAGCGACGGTAACCGCTTACCATCAGTTGGTCCGTATGCTCGTCTGCCTTCAAAGGCGATAAAAAAACTGCACTCTCGATGCTCTTTTTTTTTTTGTTTTAGAATGGCGACGACCTTTCTGTCCACTCGTTGTTAAATGATTTCAAAATCAAGGACAGAAACAACTATATTTATTTATTTATGTCGTGTACAAAGGAAGTACATCGTTTTAAGGCCAAAGTTTGCAACAAAAGGGCCTGAATGTTTAAGTGGGTGTGCGTTTTCCTCCTACGTCGCTATCATTGACTCTGCCCACGTACCAAACAAAATATATTGTAAATTTTGTAAACATGTATGTGATGAACTTTCTACAGAAGTTTCTTTTTGTACTTTGATATTTAAAAAAAAAACATCCTTAAATGTCAACGAGACGGATCGCACAGATGTAATGAGCTTATTAAGCGACTTCAAAGAAGAGGAGGATCCGAATAAGACTGTTTTTATGTGTGTTGTTATTTACCTCAGAACTAGTTTGTAGGTAAACTGATTTTGATGTTTTTTTGTTGTTATTTAAACTCCGGAGCTTCTCAGTTGAACCGATTTAAATTTTAAAAAGATATGACTCCTAATTTTTTTTTTTTATTTTTTTTTGAGTTATCCTTAATATTTCAGGTTCAAATTTACTTCGACTACATTAATAATATTCTCTTTTACTTTTATTAAGTTAAGCCATTTAAAAAAAAATTAATCTTTTGTTTCTGTTTCGTTGAGATTTATATCCTAATTTAAGTATTTATTTTTTTGACTTAAGTTTGAATTATTTTATTCTTTGTAATATTTCGGAAATGTTAAAAACTTTACAGCTTTCTTAGGTGACGGGGCTTGCCTTGTCGGCAACGGGTTGTCACTTTTCTGTCTATTTATGTAGCGAAGTAGTCCTGCATTCCGTGTTACCACCAAAGAACGTGATTTTAAAGTTTGAGTCCACGCATACCCCTTTCGTTGTCAACAAAATTGAATTCACTAAAAACTTGAATTTAATTTTCAATAATAATTTGAGATCCTTACGAGAACATCGCCGATAAACATGATGTCCACACGAACACCGAATTTAATGAATCCAGACTTGTCCTTTGGTGACCCCAACGAGATGGTTTACATCAACGCATCATGTGCGTCAATTAGATTAGTTAAGGATAGTTTATTTTGCTTCCTGCGGACACTTCTTGGAAGCTGAATCATTTGTCTCCTTAGGAAACGATTGTTGGTATTCACACTAGTAGTCTAGCGGTATATTCGGTCTGGTTCAGACAGTCGCAACTTCGAAACTGTTTAGCTACGAATACATAGATTAAATTGCTATAATTAAAACTGAATATACACGCACCGCCTCAAATAGATAGAGATGGAGATGTCTCATAAAAGCCGCAACCAAGCAATCACACAATACATAATGACCACTCCGCTAGCAGCGTACGACTAAGAAGAAGAAATTAAAACTAATTATATGGTTACTACCAGATACTACTATACTATTCAAATCATCAACCTGTATCTCTCCACTGCTGGATGTAGGCCTCTCCCATAGTCCGCCACAATGAAAGATCCTCCGCCTTTCGCATCCAATCTTTCCCAGCATATCGCCGCAAGTCATCGGTCCAACGGGCAAAGGGACGCCTAACGCTGTGCTAACAGGTAAGCGGTCTCCAGTCCAGAACACGTCTGCTCCATCGGCCATCAGTTCTGAGACACATATGTCCAGCCCATTGCCATTTCAGCTTGCTAATCTTTAAGGCTATGTCGGTTACTATACTACTATGGCTAAAAAACCGCGCGGGAGGTCAACAGTGCGGTGAACCTACCAAATTAAAACTACAGCGGTAGGTCCGCTAAATGAGTGCAGTAGAATGACCTCGAGTAGAAAGAGATGGCGGGACATCATGAGACGCATCAAGTCTGCCCCCTCCAACACTATATCACGATCACGACCACTCAGAGTGACACGATTGAAAAGAAATATGGCTTAGACTCGTCTTTTCTTTAAATGTCGTTATATTATTTCCGATGAATTGAAATGTTTTCAGCTTTTTATAGTCCGAGAACTGCGATCATATCGTAACAGAGATTAAAGCGTAAAAGTAGTTATAGTTATTTTTGTTCCTATATGGCCGACCCTATATGGGGTCGACGCTTTATGTCTTTTTGTCCCTCGTCCTACGATATATGGTCGTAGCATGACCCCTTTTCCCATTCATCTCTGAACTCACTCACACTCTTCTCTCGCATGTCTTCTAGCACGCAGTCCATACAAATATTTTTAGGACGCCTCCTCCTCACATCAGCGTCTACTTTCATACCCAGCTTTAGTTACCTAAAGAAAATATCAAACTTAATTCTTATCAATATTTGGGTGAATTTCCTCGGGGGGACCCTCGGTCTCCCAGTCCTTCAGGAGTTTAGCAGGCTTGTACGACGCAGAGATGATCTTGTTGAGGACTTCCTTCAGCACCAAGATCAGCGGTCCCGGGCCTACGTGCTTGATTCTCGATTTCGTAAAGAGTCTTCCCTTTAGTCTCCGGTAGGATGAAGTATAAAAAGATTTCATGAAATATGGACATCTATCATTCTTTATAAAATATATATGTAACTTTATAAATTGACGTAAATATTCAAACAAGTTACACGGTACGTACACCTGTATAGAACGTGGGCGAGTTTGCCCAAACAGAACATTTCAAAAAAAATGCCTTTACACAATGGAAGCTCCACTTTTATGAGCTTCCATAGTGTACTTAATGTGCCGTAAAGGTATAGGATATAACCTTCGGATATAACTCGCGTGGGTTTGCGCTCCAAACAGAACAGAACTGATCGGATCTTTGGGCAAACTTACGAAATATAGACTTGATATCGTTTTAGACATGCCTATTGTTCGTAATAAAGTATGCGGAAGAAGGCCCAAAGGCAGAAGTCCAATTCGCTGGTCGGACCAGATACGCTCCACTCTCAACACTTCAATCTACGATGCTATCAACACAGCCGAGGATAGGCAGGAGGGACGCAGGATAATCCAGGATTACTGGAGGTAGGACCTCTTGTGAGTCCGCGCGGGTAGGTACCACCACCCTGCCTATTTCTGCCGTGAAGCAGTAATGCGTTTCGGTTTGAAGGGTGGGGCAGCCGTTGTAACTATACTTGAGACTTTAGAACTTTTCTCAAGGTGGGTGGCGCATTTACGTTGTAGATGTCTATAGGTTCCAATAACCACTCAACACCAGGTGGGCTGTGAGCTCGTCCACCCATCAAAACAATAAAAAAAAGGAGAAAGTTCTTAGAGAAGGCCACGAGCTTCAGCGTTTAGGATTATCGATGAAAGAAGAAGAATTGTCTGCAGTGATACATACTGAATGTACTCGCATGGTAATAGAGAAATTCTTCTTAGATTAAGAGTCGGTTTTGAAACTGCCCGCAAAGGACTACATTCATTAAGAATACTGATTTTGATTTATACGTATGTTTTTTATTTATTGCATAGATGGGTGGACGAGCTCACAGCCCACCTTGTGTTAAGTGTTTACTGGAGCCCATAGACATCGACAATGTAAATACCGCCATCCACCTTGAGATATGAATTCTAAGGTCTCAGTATAGTTATAACGGCTGCCCCATTCTTCAAGCCTAAAGGCATTACTGCTTCACGACAGAAATAGGCAAGGTGGTGGTACCTACCAATGCGGACTCACAAGAGGTCCCACCACAAGTGTAAGAAACACACATGTATTTTAATACCGAAAGTGCGTCGAACTAGTAAGCGATATATTGGAATTTGTAATGGCATTCAGGCAACGTAAATACTGTCGTCACCTGCCTTGAAACATGAATATTAAGTCTTAGTTTTACAGTACAACGATAGCCCCAGCTTTTAAACCGAAGTGCATTACCGATTCACGGCAGAAATAGGCAGGGCAGGCAGGAGTAGGGACAGAAATAGACAAGGCAGGCAGGGGTAGGGGTAGAAATAGGCAGGTACCAACGTACCTACCCGTACGGAACAAGACGTCCCACAACCAGTAAGAACTACGATCGCTAGTCAGAATTTTCATGGCCATGTCATGGTCATGGTGAGTGGCAGCATTCACGTTGTGTTAGTTATAGGCTCCGACAGGCACTTACCCACAGATGAGCCGTGAATACTTGCAACAATCAAATTCAACGCAATCAAACTTGAATACCCATTTCGAGGATTTCTCGAGACGAACATTAAAGTTTCCTCGTTTGAGTCGAGGTCGACAAAGTTTTGAAGTAACGTCTTATGGCTCCTCTTCACAATCAGCCATGATGGGCGATTATAGAAACTCACGATAGTGTAGAGGGCATACATATCTGTGATCAGCCATCATCACGCATGATCGTGCGCAATCGGCATTGTGTCGGTAGATCAAAGGAATGATGGCCCATGATTGTGTGACCACACCATCGCCGATTAGTCAGGATGTAGTTGTCTCGAGTGTGTGTCAATTGTGTCGACTACACAACTATGGTTGCGTGGACCTTGTTTTGTTCCGATTGATAGCCACCATCCACCACCTTCTCTACCTCCATCTTGTTTATCGTTATCGGTAGGCAGCGGCTTGGTTCTGCTCCTAGCATAGCTGAAGTCCATGGGCGACTATGCCGTATGCTCATCTGTCTACAAGGGCAATAAGAAAAAAAGTTTTCACGATTCTTTTTTCGCGCGCATTAGGTAAATGACTATATGAGCTAACTGAAAATATTGCAGCAGCCGCGATCTCCTCGATTTCCATCATCGATACCTAGACGTCCTAACATATCAGTAGACAGTTAGTAAATGAACGTTCACGATTGTGTGGAGAGTTGCCCGACCATGGCGGCGATGATGGACGATCATTTGTAGACCCATCATGGCCGATTGTGAAGAGGAGCCATTAAATTACCGCATTAACTCAAACAAAAGCAGCCGATTTCAGTGCCGAAACTGCGCTCCTAATTGTTTGTAAGGTTTAAATGTGCCTGTACAGACCTACTTAAATAAAAAACGATTCTCATTTTTTTTATTTGACGTCAAAAATAAAATGGTAAACAGAAAAACGAGGTTTTATTTATTCTACTCATTCTTTCACAGGTAGTGGCGGCGGCGGCGGCGGCTTCGGCAAAATCAACAATCTTCGACCGTTCCGACCTTCAAACAACATCAGGTGGGCACAATACAACTGATAGTTACCAAGCATTCTCTTCTCTTAGTAATGATATAGTCATCAGCATATTATAACCTTTATGTATAGTTTTGAATATAGCAGCTTTTAATCCGCTAACATGCCTACGATCTGACAGCCTATCGTAAGGGGACCCGTTGTCAGTGGTATAGCGAGGGGAGAGGCACATCATGCAAAGCAATGCATGCAAAACAAAAAATTGCATTTTTTTTTATATTCGGTTTCTGGAAAATATATATTTTTTTATTGCTTAGATGGGTGGACGAGCTCACAGCCCACCTGGTGTTAAGTGGTTACTGGAGCCCATAGACATTCACAACGTAAATGCGCCACCCACCTTGAGATATAAGTTCTAAGATCTCAAGTATAGTTACAACGGCTGCCCCACCCTTCAAACCGAAACGCATTACTGCTTCACGGCAGAAATAGGCAGAGTGATGGTACCTACCCGCGCGGACTCACAAGAGGTCCTACCACCAGTAAACCACCAGTTTGTATAAATGTTAATTCGTAAATAAAAAGGAAAAAAGGGGGCGTCTAAAAACGTATTGCGCCCCGGACGCGAGTTTAGATCTTTACGCAATTGCCTGTAGTCAATGGTCGTATGGTCTAGAATGCATGCTCCAAGTGAGAAACAGACAGGAATGTTAGCCTTTAACACAGCCGCTTGCTTGATAGTCACGAAACCTGGCTCAGAATGAATTATCGTAGTATCAACCTCCATCATCGCAAATCTCACTAGTAACATCGTATATAAAGTCCATGATTATTTTTTATTAAACTGCGAAATGACAGTGGTTGTCAAAATTTTTTTTTTTGCCGTTATATATATTACTGTATTTCGTCGTTGTCAAACAAAAAATTGTTATGTGCACTTTTTGAGATTTTTACTTTTTAATCTTTTCGTATAGTTCACAGCCCTATCTATCGTATAAAAAAACTGTTGTGTGTCTATTAGCTTTAATATTTATCTATAGCTTTCGTTTGATATAGTTCTTAAAATTTCACCTTCATATAAAATTTTATACGAAAATGTTTTTACTCGTTAATTCAAAATAGATTTTTTGCACATAGCAGATTCTGATTTGACAGTGACGATTTGCTTTTTCTTGATACTGGAAATGCAATTAATTACGCAATAAAATTATGCATTAATTACGCATTAATTACTTAACGCAATTAGATATTAGTTTTATGAACTCATTAGTCAATCAATCATTAGTCTACGATGCATTGAATGTTGAACGTAAAACTATAGTATAAAATATCGTTGTACGTAGATCTTACAACCGCAGATCGAACTTGGAGATGGACGGTGAGTACCCGGCGGCCAACCATCACGACCCGGGACTGCTGTGGACAGGTCTCGGCCGGTAGACAACAAACACGCCACACAACTCAGCCAACACGAAACCAACATTATGGCCAACGTTCCAACGTATATAGTCACGACACAAACACTATGATCACTCGATTAAGCCCACGTTTCGATCATAACACAATTATCGATAAACAAACTGAATACAATGCACCACAGCTGGATTTAATACAGGCCCTTAAAGAGTTTTGCTACGTGTAAGAGATTCTTGACAGCGAATATGGCTGTACTGTGTTGATATTGTGTAATTTAAAAGAAACTTAGCTCGGCAAGTATGTGGTTAATTCAAATTTAAAAAAGAAAAATTCATTTAAAAATTATAGCAAGCTAGAAGATAAATACATAGAATATGAAAAATAAAAAGCATCGTGAGAGATTTGTAATTCCGTATTGAATATCATATCTCGTTCTAGTCAAATTACATGTGTATGAAAGTGTTAATGAAAAATATTTTATACCTACCTAAGTATATAGAATATAAAAACTTTAATAATCATCTCACAGTTTGAGAAACGATGCTTGTTACGATCACAGAACAATGAAACGATTTGTTTCCTGTAGTTTCTGTAACTTTTTGTGACCTTTACAGTAATTATTCAGCCGCCATTACGATTTACCACCATCTGACGATAAAAAAATATTTTTCACTAACATTATTCATATTTTTCATATTCGTTACCTTCTTCTTGTTTAATTATAATTAACTTCTTATTTAATTATAAGTAGCTATTGAATAACTTGTTAAGGGTTTTAAGAAATGAACTATAATTTCCTATTTATTATTTATACTATTTATAAAAAAAGAAAAAGAAACTGTTAATTAATTTTATATGTTAATTATTGTAGAACTTGTATGCGTAATAATATTGGAATTACTCAATAAACAAAAAAACTTATGTGAAGTATTTCTAGACTGTAAGTAATTTTAAATTATTATCATCTAATTAAACGTGATTTCACAGCCGGTGTCTTTCATTTTTATTATAAGTAGTAGCCCCGCGGTAGTCGAAATTCCACTATAATTAAATGAAATTATAAGTTTAAACATTATTATGGTTCTATTGTCAAACACTATTATAATTCGATAATATAATCACAGTATTCGCCAAAACTGCACTATAGATCAATTAGATTAAAGACAAAAAATATTAATCTATTTTCAATTCGACCACAGACTTTAAACAATAACAATCGTTTCCCAATTGACAGTAAGCAAAGTATCTTTTATGCATTATTTTTAAAAAATATTAGCATTGTGGACTCCTTCTCTATATTCTCTATAAGTGTGAGAAATTTCATACTCCTCCGTCCGCGCAATTTTCGAAAAAAGGGATACAAACTTCTTTTTCCTTCACGTATTAATATATAGATTTTCATTAACCGCTTCATTTCACTATCAAGTACACTACGGAACAAGCTCATATCGACCTGTCGTGGTACTTCGAGCTGGTGCGGAGGAAGAAAACTATGTCCCTCTCTCTAGTACGCCCTAAAAGATGTTTGAAAGACACGGGCAGTACCTAAGATAATAAAAATATTTTTTTCATTAATTTTACGCTACTTGTTTTATTTTCGATATTCCCGTTATATTTGTCTGCCCCATCACTACCGAAAATACTTTCTAGTACGGATCAGGTCGATATCGGCCCGCCGCTTTTCCTGATTTATTCCTCATTTCCTGTTTGTCAGATCCGTGGGCGAAACGAACCTAAAGAAGTTGGGTTCACGGTAATTTTTACAGTATACAAAATAATTGTATATAGTATGTTTTCGCAAAGCTATAGCATTTTAATCTACACTAGTGCTGGGGGTCGCGAAAGACCGCAAAAGACGCACTAGTGGAAATATCATTGAGGGCGCATTTCGACTCGCCGCCGCACCAGATGAAGTTTTATGATTTTACTTGCCGCTGCAAAGGCGTTAAAGACCAATCATTTTCTTTACGGATGACTGACGAACGCCTCAACTATGTTGGCAGATATTATTAAAACGACTATTGCTGCTTGATTGCGCGTTTTTATTATCATTTTACTATATCTGATTTTTTTTTATTGCTTAGAAGGATGGACGAGCTCACCGTTCACTTAGTTTAAAGTGGTTACCGAAGCCCATAGACATCTACAACGTAAAATGCCGTCACCCACCTTGAGACAAAGATCTACGTTCTCAATTTTAATAATACAACGGCTGCCCCACCCTTCAAGCCGAAATGCGTNATTGCGCGTTTTTATTATCATTTTACTATATCTGATTTTTTTTTATTGCTTAGAAGGATGGACGAGCTCACCGTTCACTTAGTTTAAAGTGGTTACCGAAGCCCATAGACATCTACAACGTAAAATGCCGTCACCCACCTTGAGACAAAGATCTACGTTCTCAATTTTAATAATACAACGGCTGCCCCACCCTTCAAGCCGAAATGCGTTACTACTTCACGGCAGAAACAGGCAGTGTGGTGGTACCTACCCGTGCGGACTCACAGCGCGTCTTACCACTAGTAATTACGCAAATCATAATTTTGCGGGTTTAATTTTTATTATACGATATTATTCCTTCACCATCATAATGCTACGCGCTGAGGTTCCGGATAAATAAATGCTCCACCAGAGAACAACTTAAAACTTTATTTATCACTTAGAACACACAGAACCCTTTAAAACTCTCAATTCGCTTCTTCCACTTTGCTTCGGTGATCCGTTTGCTGTTTCACTTCGAGTAGTTCCGATTACTGACTGACTTCGTGCCATGTCTGCAACGCTTTTATAGTCGATACGACATCCCCAGAATCGTCCAGAACATTCCTCACAAGTCGAGTACTTTCGATATGTGTTTCCGCTATCTGACAATAGATGGCGTTGTACTTCTCGAGCGTTCTAGATGTTACTAGATCCTTCGATATTCGTTCGGCTATTCGGCGATAGATGGCGTTACTCTTACCGGCGTTACAATAAGTTAAGACTATAATTTAGATGAACTATAAACAAAATGGTGCATGACTAGCTTCGGACTTGAAACTGGTCACATGGGAGACGCAAAGGCGATTCTAGTCCCCTCTGACATTTTATATATTTTAAGATGACCGACCTGCTCACAGCTCATATGTTGATTAGTGGGCAGCGAAACGCATCGATATAAATGTGAATGATACAGGTACAAATCTTGAGACATGAGAGAAGATCTGCTTGGTAAATTAAAGTTCATTCATGTCGGTCTGTAACAGGGTGCTGTGCTGTGAGAATCGGCGCTCTGCCTATGTCTGCCTCGAAGCTGTAATAATACGTTTCGGTGTGAGGGGTGGGGCGGCCGCTGTACTGTAAAAACGGGGACCTTAGCACGCTGGTCTCGAAGGAGGGGCGGCATATACGTTGTAGACGTATATAGGCTTCGGTAACCACTTAACACCACCTAACCTAAACATCAGCCCGCTGAGTTTCTTGCCGGATCTTCTCAGCGGCTCGCGATTCCGATCCGGTGGTAGTAGATTTATTCGCGAAGCAGCTACTCTTGAGTTGTTAGATCTCCTTTGGAGGCGCTTGGGTAGCTGTTAACAAATCCTACCTCTCTGGGTGAGCTCTTACTCACCCACCTGGCCTGGTAAAACTGGAAAGGCCTCCGGGCAACCAGTAATCCCACAAATATATAAAAAAAAACTTAACACCAGGTGGGCCGTGAGCTCGTCCACCCATCAAAGCAATAAAAAAAGGAGTTGTGTTTGTCTATTTAACGGACAACACAATGCAGCTAAGACTGTGACCACGAGGATGTTGTATGACCGAATTCACGATGCAATGTGAGCTCCGGTATCTTAACGACAGTTGAACTGTGAGCTCGTTCACTTATCTACGATTATTTTTCTCCAATACCTCATTTGAACACTGCGACGTTCCGTTGCAAATATAACATAAAATTTATAATTTTGCTACATTTACAATCGAAAAACAGCAATTGAAGTTAGGTACACCAATTGTATAAATAAACTTATAATAATATACTAACGACACATGCTTAACGCTGTGTTTTCCATAAAATTATTATTACTAATGACATTGTAATGATTTTAGGTACAATTACTCGTAGTGTACATACCAATTATGACTGTACACACACACAATGAATGGTCATAAAATGTGCATATTTTTTTGTAATTTTATAATGATTTCAATACCTAGTCAGGTCATAAATTCTGTCACATGTTTAATGTAAAATAATTGCAACAAGTTTATTCATTATGTAACCATTCATATACCAAAATGAACTTAACAAAACATAGATTCTTATGACACTAAAGTTTATTCAAAATAACCTCCGTGATTTTGAATACAGGCCTTCAATCTGCGCGGCCAGTCGTCTATCGCAGCACGAACGAGGTCCATGTCAATATCGGCGGCTGCCTTAATCAAGGATGTCTTGAGTGACTCCAAATTGGGATGAGGCTTTGAGCACGCCTTTTCCTCCAAGTGTTGCCATATCTTGTAATCTAACGGATTCAAATCTGGACTGGAGGAGGGCCAGTCTTCGTGCCGGATGAAGTCGATTTCACGCGCCGCCAGCCAGTCTTGTGTGCTCTTCGCTCTATGAGCTGGCGCCGAATCTTGTTGGAATACCCAGTGCCTGTTATTGAACATGGTATGAGAAACAGGTTCCACAAGGTTCGTCAGGACTGTATTTTGATACACAACTGCATTCGTTTTTACACCTTTCTCACAAAAATGTACCTCTGTTAAGCCCCAATAAGAAACTCCCAACCATACCATGAGCGAGGATGGAAAATGACCTCGTTGGACACGCGGAATACGGTTGCTCGCTTCTTCACTACTGTGTGCGTACACCTTATCATTTTGTTTGTTGTAGCTCTCTTCTACGGTAAAAATTTTTTCATCCGAAAAAAGAATTTCCCGATATTTTTTTCCCGCGTACCGCTTCAACAAAGCGCGGCATCTCTTCAGTCTCAGGTCCATTAGACGAGCATTCAAACGATGTCCTGTTTTTCTTCGATATGCCCGAAGCCCTAAGTCTTCATTTAACACCCTTTTCACCGTGGTTCTGCTTAACCCCATCTGAAGGGCCAACAGTTTCTGCTTACGTTTGGGATTTCTTTGAATTCGCGCCTTCACAGCTTTTATCACTGCTGGAGTCCTAACAGACCGAGGGCGACCATTTCTTGACCTGTCATCTACACTAGAGTCTTCATTGTATCGTTTGATGGTACGATAAACGAATCTTTTGGTTATATTCAAATTTTTCAGTATGTTAAAAATTTGAATTGGCGCGTAACCGCAACGATGCTACGCAATAACTGCAACACGGTCTTCTTTAAGCGTCCACTCCATATTTAAAAATTAGTAAAATTCTAAAAGTATACATTTTTATTTTCATGAACAATTCGTAATTCGAATTCAATAAACTTTTTTGTGGCCAGCATTCTATAAGTTTTTACTGTGTGACAATACATATGACCTGACTAGGTATTAATTATATCGATGTTTATATTATATGT